ATTTCCATTGTTGACACTTCCATTGTTACTTAAAACTTTTATTGTTACTTAAAACTTCCATTGTTACTTAACACTTCCATTGTTACTTAGCACTTCCATTGTTACCTAACACCGCCATTGTTACTTAACACTTCCATTGTTGATGGAAGTGTTAAGCCTTAATCCTGTCTTTCTCCCCCCCGGGAGGAATTTCGAAAAATCCCTTCTTAGTGTGCGTTTTCGTGACGTACCCTAACTGTGTACCAAATTTCAGCTTCCAACTCCTAACCGTTTGGGCTCTGCACTTATTATTATTATTATCAACCCGTCTCGATTATATTATAGATGAGTAATTAAACGATTATTTAAATTTTATATTCATATGTATCTATATTACAAATATACATTATATATAATGAATGTAAAATGCGAAGTAAAATTACTTTTTAGAATATTAATAAAATTTTTTATTTAATAATAAAAATATAAAAGACGAAGAATGACAGTACTATAATTAAAGAGGAGGTTATTGCTAAGATATAGAAGTTGTCTGAAAAATATCTTTTCAGTTTTCCAGAATTTTTTGTTGGTTTTTTTATTAAATGCTTCACATTATAAGTCAATATTTCTTATTGCCGATAAAATAGCTTGTCGTATCTTCATGTTTAGCAAATTTCCTTTTTAGTTCAAATTCAATTCACACACTAACATAGAAACAGATACATCACTATCAGATAAATGCATTACACACTGTCTTTGACTGTTGAGTCTGGAGCTTAAAAGTCATCCTGTATACAGTATATAAACAAGATGATTAGATATGCTTATATATTTTATAGGCGTATATAAGCAGATTATATTAGATTGCATTCAGTACGATATAGTATCTCTTCTCAATCTGTATATAATTTAAATATTTAGACTACTAGTATACATAACTAATGTGAAGACCACCACCCCCCTCCAAAAATATTTATCTATATATATATATTTGTAAACGGTTATTTGTAATAATTTTTGTTTATTTACTTATATCTTTTTCTTATTATGTATTTGTGTAAACCTTAACTAAAGTTGCAAGAGGAAATTCGCCTATTTTACCAATCTAGGGACCCTTTTCCAAATTTAAAATCTACTTAAATTAATTAGAATAAAACAGTTTATTAATTAACTATCAGAAATTTCACAACATGCCAAAGAAAAGAGGAAAAAGCAACCAAATAATCAAAAATTATATAGAAATGAGGAACATTGCATCCCCTTTGTTTTCGGCAATGTTTACATGAAGAACTTAGTCAAAGCAATCAATGAACAAACAATGACTAAGAACAAATATAAGTCATGTCGACTCAGAAGATGACTCAAAGAAAGCTGCACGTCATTACCAAATAAGAAAACACTGTCTCAGCTACAATGATGACACTGCCAATGAGTCATCACCCAATGATAAACTTTCTCATGCTGAAAGGGTTTAAAAGAAGAGCCCCAACCAGAGAAAGGTCAGTCAGAAAGGAGAGACAGCTCCAGTCAGAAAAAGGCAGTCAGAGTGAGGACACAGTCCAGTTAGAAAGACAGTCCGAAAGAGACAGTGAGATAGTCAGCAGTCGTGGACACAGCTCCAACCAGAGGAAAAGTGGTTCAAGAGAAGACGACTCAAAAACGAGCAAGCACGAGACGAAGTGCAGCGAACACCAGGAACCTCTGCAGTCTTGGCCGTCAAGTCCACGTCACAAGAGAAGACATCTTGTTTATCTGGTATGTTGTGAGTCACAACATACCAGATAAACAAGATTCGAATACCCCCCGTTAGGCACCCCCCTCGTTATATAGATAAAAATAAGCAAATTTCCAAAATCAGCTTTTATAATTTTGTTCGAAACTTTCGT